AGTGCAGTCTCACTTTGTGAGGAATCAACAGCTCCTCTGCCTCAGAGACACAGCATCTCTCCAAGAAGGTGCTGCAGGGCAATCCCAAAGCAAAGGGCTGACGTGCTGTCAAGCTCCATGTTATTTACTGATGACTATTAAAACATAACCCTACATTAACTACCACCCTCATGCAAACACCAGCAACAGCCCACCCTGTGGCAGCCGCTCACTTCCAGCCACGTACCTCCAGCCTCACCCTCTGGGACATCATTCCTATGTCTGCGCTGACGAACACCACCCGTCGGGAGTCCTCGGGGTCTGCCACGATGAAGGCTCGGCTGTAGAGGCGTGTGAGGAGCCCACCAGCCACCTGCTCCGGGTTGGCATAGCCCATCTGCAAGGGAACAGCTCTGTCAGGTCCACCCAGCCAAAATAATGAGTGATGCATTCACCTGAATGAACTTCTCCAGGTGGATTTGCCAGAGCGTCAGAGAACTCATTCAGCACATAAATACTCCAAGCTGTAACAGTCCTGCCCTGTGAGTGCAAGGATCATGGAATGGTTTGGAGGGGGACCTTAAAGCTCATCTAATTCCAACCCCTTGCACAGGACCAGGTTGCTCCAAGCCTCAAAGAAATGTCACTGAATGTTTGCAGGTGACACACGTTGGTGGAGGCAAAGAGTCTGAACCAGAAACCCTGCAAAAAGTACTGTTGGATGGTGAACAATCAGTGTTCTGCCAACCCCGTGTTCGATTCCCCCGACTCACCAGGGGAACTTGTGCCACTGGTCCCGTGCAGTCAGCTCGACCCACGCCCAGCAAGTAGTTTGCTGTTTCTGACACGTTGGTGGAATCTGTAAGAACAATAACCAGTAGGTCAGTGGACACGTGAGGGAGCAGAATTGGAGATAAAAGAGGCAACTCAGCTTTGTCCAAGAGAATCCACACCCAAAACCTGCTCAACATCCCCAGAGGACCCAGCAGACCCCGGGCAAGGGGGTCTAGCTGAGTCCTCTGCTTGGGTTTCCAGTGGGCTGTCAATGTGGTCCAGGTGTGCTGAGGCTGGGAAGGCATTTGGGGTGGTAAAGGGTGGACCAGGCATGAGGAACTGCAGAGGGAGGTCACAAGGTGGTGTCACTGGGCCATGGAAAATGTGTGGGGACACGCAGCGAGGGGGAAACAAGCCCAGGGTTGCCAATTAAACTCTCCAAGCCCATCACCACCACGCAGGAAACAGAGCCAAGGGTGCAAGTGCTGCTTCACACAAAAAAAATCAGCTCAGCAGCGGTAAGAAAAAGGGGATGGCACGTCAGGAGCTGCTGGGAAGGACCAGGGAAGAAAAAACAGCCACATGTTTCCCTGGTGCCTCCAACACACCCTGAGTCCAGTGCTGGCACCCTGGTCCTCCTCAACAAAATTGAAGCAGAGCCACTTGAAGCTCAAAGAAGGGAAAAGCAGCTCTGGGCAATGACCTCCAGGCAAATGGTGAGGAAAAGTACTCCCAAAGGAGGTCGTGTCTCACCCCAGCCATCATGAAGGTGCAGAAATCCTTACAGGATGGATAAACTCATGGAAGAAAAGCCATGGAGGGCTATAAAATAATAATTATAATGAATAAATAAGGTTATCTGCATCTCAGGAAATCCCAGAGCCACAGACCACTGGAGGCTGAGATAATACTGTGGGAAAATATTGAATATTTCTGTTCTCACAGCCTTCCCCAGGCAGCTGCTGCCTCTCAAGGCAGGACACTGGGATAAGGGGATGCTTGACCTTCCCAGTCTGGCCTTTCCTGGGCTGTCACTGAAACCAGAGGAGCGAAACACTCACACTGGCCACAGACTGGCCATTTCTGTGATTTAAATTGTCATCAGTGAACCTGTTAAAACTACCCTTCCTCCACCTCCTCCCACAACACAGAGGAGAATCACTTGTGCAAAACTCTCATGTGTTACAACCTAAACCCACCAAGGAAGTGTGAACTGCAGCAAGTTTGAGATCAAAATCTAGGAATTGGAAGGTCCCACTGATGCCATGTGGGGCGATGCCCTGTCCAGGGGCAGAGTGAACTTGGGGCAGCCCCCAGCACCTGCCCTGTGCCCGGGGATGGGGCTGGAGACCTGAACGGGCTGTGATGGGCTGGCAGCAGCTGTGAAGCCCCTCGGGGCAGTGCCAGGAGTGAGGGGCTCTGCAGAAACAGGGAAGGGAGGATGTGTGGGTCCCTGCAGCCCCACCAAGCCCGGGGCTGTGCATCCATGCAGGTGCTCCTGCCAGGCTTGGCCACCCTGCTGAGGTGGAAGGCTCATGCACAGAGGTGGTGATGAAGGCTCAGCAGTGACCTTCTGTGTCTCTGGACACACACTGGAGCAGCGTGTGAGGGTGGGACTGAAGCAGCTCAACTTGCCATCGCTCTGTTTGTTGAGGAAGTGGAGGGTGAGGAGCACCACGGTCAGCGTGATCATCAGCGCCAGGCAGACGATGAGGATCACCTCCAGGCGGGAGAAGGAGCACCTGGACCTCTTCCCAGACATGGTGGGAGCTCTGTGAAGGCACAAAGGGACAGATGGGGCAGCCCCAGCGTCGGGCACAGCACACCCAGGGCACACATCACACCCTCCAAGAGCTGCTGAGGGTTTGTGTCCCCTGAGAGCAGCAGAGAGAAGGATGGGAAGTGCAGATCAGCTTTTCAATCTGCTTAAGGCAGCAGAAATATATCTCCTGGGAGCAGCTATCACTCCCTGTCACGAGGCCTGATAGGACAGGGTGAGCACCCAAATTACTGATCCCACCTTTCCCAGAACACTTTGCTCACCCTTCCCAAGGAATCCTTTAAATAAACTCCAGAATATTCCACCAGACTGAGTGCCTGGAGGAGATGCTGCAGCCTGAAGCCTCACAGCTTTGCAGTTGCTCACACACTCAGAGCACATCAAAGAACAATATTGTCACCATAATAAAGGTCAGTTCAATAACCTCAGCATGAGAAGAGCACAGCCCATTGCAGGTCCAAGTGCAAATCTCTCCTGCCTGGAAAAAGTGCTGGCTGTGAGAGCTTTCCAAGATAAGAGCCTATGGATAGGTGCTGGATTTCTTCAGCATATAAAAAAGTTTGCTTTTGGATATTATTTTTCCTTCTTCTATAAAGAAGGAAGGCTTATTTTGGGTTAAAAACAGAGGTTTGTTTTGGGTTAAAGATTAACAAGAAAAATCATGCAAAATGCAGCTATGGGAAAATATGTTGTTGCCCTCTCTGATTTGTCCTGGCTGTGGCAGCCCAAAATTGCACCCAAAAGCTCAGGTTTGCCCAGTGGGAAGTGACACTTGGAGCTAAGATGTGCCTTTTGCCCTTCCTGTAAACACCTGCACGAGGTAGGAATTAACCTTTAAAACAGCTTTGGATGTTTCCATGTGTCCGTGGATGTCTTAGCAGATCAAACTTACTGCTGATCCCATTGCTCTGCCTGTGACCCAACCATGAATCCACTCCAAAGGGTTCCTTGTTTAGAGCAGTGAGGGGGATCTCTGTCCTTGGGGATGCCCCCAGCTCACCTGGACATGGCTCCAAGCAGCCTCTGGCACTGGCACTGCAGGGAGGGAGATGGGGAAGATGGACACCTGGGAGAGGGGAAGGCTCCAGGGAGACCTGAGAGCCCCTTCCAGAGCCTAAAGGGGCTCCAAGAGAGCTGGAGAGGGACCTGGGACAAGGGATGGAGGGACAGGAAAAGGGGGAACAGCTTCCAACTGCCAGAAGATGGGATACTGGGAAGGAATTGTTCCCTGTGAGGGTGAGGAGGCCCTGGCACAGGCTGCCCAGAGAAGCTGTGGCTGCCCCTGGATCCCTGGAAGTGTCCAAGGCCAGGTTGGAGCAACCTGGGCTAGTGGGAGGTGTCCCTGCCCGTGGCAGGGGATGGAACTGGATGGGCTTTAAGGTCTCTCCCAACCCAAACCAGCCTGTGAGTCTGTGATGAGCCTGTGATTCGAAAGGGAAGAGTGAGGCAGAGCCTCTGAATCTCCTGGAGGTAACATTTGCCTTAGGGTGAGTCTGTCAGGGGGTTTGGGAAAGCTTCTGCCTTCAGGTTATTCCTCACAGGAAGGTGCCCTGGAAACAACAGACCTGCAGAAAACAACTGCTGAAACGAGCATGTATGGGCTTGGGAAGGTTGCAGTGAGAAACAACATCACCAGAGAGCCAAGGGCTCTCCCAGACTTGCTCTAGGTGACCTTTCCTATCAGCTTCTTTTGCCCTGGTGAGCTACAGCAGTTGTCATCAGGGCTGGATTCCACACAGGAAATATTCTGGTGGCAACAAAGCTAATGTTACAGGTTTCCTTCCTCCTGTTTTAATTCTCCAAGCGTGGCCTTGGCAGCCCAAACCCATCAGCACCATACATAGTGACAGCACTCATTGTCCCACTGATCCAACCCAAATAACACCAAAAGAAATCAACATTCATCCCATGGAACCCCAGTGGAATCTCGTGCAGACCTCCCCGAGTTCCCTCACCTGCTCCAGCGGCCAGAGGAACGTCTCCCAGCTCCAGAACCTGTTCCAAGCTGAAAAGTGGAGCTTGGAAATTGTTGCTGTATAACCCTGTGAGTCAAGCACTGCACAAGATAAGAAGAAACCAATCAATAATTTCTACCCCACAAGGAGGTGAGAGGATTTTTTTTCCCTGGTGTGTTTATGTTGAGTTAGGGACAGCGCCTGCCTCTCTAAAATAACCTTCCTGGGGTTGCACTGATCAGCTCTGGTGCACGAGGAATTCGGGAACAGGACTCTTTTCCTCCTCTTTGCTCCGTCACCGCTGGATGGAATTCCACAGCCTGTGGAATGAGGGCTGCTTCCCAGTCTGGCCATGACTCCTAATCCTCACAGAAGATTGCTCCTCAGGGTTTCCAAACTCTACTAGAAGAAGAACTTGAGAGCAGGATTGTATTTTAAGTGTAAAATAGTATATTTTTATTTATTAAATTTGTTAAACCCAAGCTTTTTCCACCTGTTTTCCCTTCAAGTCCCAGACAGGTCTGGATAAACTCACCAGCTGCTACAGCATGCCTTATCCAAAGGGTTTTGACAGCTTGCTCCTCCCAAATATTACAGGACCCAGCCCATCCCTCAGAAGTGGTGGCAAGGGAGAGGAAAGCTCCAACTAGCCATGCCCCTCCCTCCCTCCAGCATCCATGCACTTTGTTTGGGAATTCAAGGCTGGGATCACCTCTGACGTTTTCCATCCCAGCTCAGGAGTTTCAGTTTTCCCCTTTCATCCCCTTTTCTCTCGTGCACCCCCAATCCAAGGGTTAACATCCCAGCTGGTGCTGAGCAGGGTCTGCGTCATCACTCCAGGGTCATGTTCAGTGTCGCCCTTTGACTCGCTGATTTTTGGACTGGCTGCTTGGGAGAAACAGGATTTACTGATACCTTATCTCCTCACTGCAATTCCCAGGGAACCTGCTTGCTCCTGCCACCGGTGGAGAAACCACCTGCTTTGCCATGTGGGATGACAGGTACCCCTGGGCACCACTGTGCTGCTGGGAACGTCTGAGTCACGAGGGCATCCCAAATCCTGCGCTGGCCTTGGAGGGAAGTGAAGAGCCTCGTTTGACAAAACCATGGAGCAGCTGCTCTGCTGTCACAGGGACGAGCCAGGAATAGGTTGTGCATTGGCTCGTTGGTGATACATTTGCTAGATCATCGTGAAAAGCCAGGAAATTGAGTTTTAATGAGCTGCCACAGTGATGGTGTGTCCTGCCAGCCTCACCCCATGGAATGCAGGGAGCTGAGGAAAAGGCCTCACTGTGCCTCTGTAACTGCAGAAAGAACAAACCACCTGTTGGTGGGGGCAGAGGAGGAAAAGAAAGTTTGGTGACAGCTCAAAACATGTTTAGGGGAATATTTTAAATTGCTTTCCTTTTCAGAAGACTGCTACGTGAGGCTATGGGGACCCACAGCTCCCCATCTCCCCCGGGGATGTGCCCATGTCCAGGTGCCCTGGCTCAGGACTGCAGGAAGCAACAAGCCTTTGGGTGCAGAAAAGGGACTTTCAGGACTGCAAAGACCTCAGGTGAAGTGCTGAGGGCTTGGTAAATCCGTCTGCCTGTGGGAAATGTGAACTGCTCCCTCCAGAGATGGGGGATTCCTGAGATGGTGCCACGTGGAGCTCACAGAGATCATCACACAGCAGCACAACAGGTTCCTCAGGGCCACTGTCAGCCTAGTGAGGAACAACAAACTGCCCCAAACAAGTCCTGGAAATGCACCTGGCTTCTGCACCTCGTGTCTTCCACCTGTGACAGGTCACCAGCCTGGCCACCCTGAGGAAGGACAGCGGTCCCACCGGAGGCACAATGCTCACCCCAAAGCAGCCACACTGCAGCACCCAGCCTGGAAAATAAAACTTCCAAGGAAGAGCTGTCCTGTCAGGGGCAGGATGCTCATGGACCTGCTCATTAACCTCTGATGGTTGAGATCAGAACTCTACAGATCCAGGTTGGAAGGAAACTGGAGCTCGGGAAGAAACAGCAGTCATGGTTGGAGGGTTCAGGGCATCCCTGAAATTATACTCCATGCTGGGGTGGGAGGAAATGTGGGATTTGAAAGCAGGCACAGTTGTTAAATGCATGCAGAGCAGAAAATTACTTCCTTGAGGTCCTTGTCCTGCCATGACTGGACAGCCTGGCCCTGGACATCAGCCTGTGCTGGTGTGACATCATAACATGCCAAGTTTCCTTCTCATAAGATGAAAGGTTCCCACAGATCATCCTTTTTCCCAAGACCAAGAGTCCTCCAACTTCTTCCCATTTTGTGCTAAAAGATACTAAAGAAAGTTATGTTTTCTTTAAAATATTTATCCTTATGAAAAATGGCTTCTACCCATCACTGCTACCAACCTGTGACCTTCCCAGGCACAACCAGGGACTGCAAACAGCACAGGATTTTCATTTTCAACAAGAAAAACGCCTAAAGCCACTCAGGATCAATGGATCCTGAAGTGGCTGAAGGTTCCTGAAGGAACAAGGCAAAGTTGAAAGAAGAAAACCATTAAACACAGATTGCCAAACGTGCATTTCCTTATACAGCAAACACTGTACTTCCAAATGGTTAAGAAAGAGGATTTAAACTCCCTCTATCTAAGATCCCCTAGGAAAAAAAAATAAATTAAGGGAACTGGCTCTGAAATGTAAATCCATGAAGCATTTGCTTCCCTTTCTGCTCCTTATTTTTCAGTTTCTCATCCCTCCACAGCAAGAGCAGATCATTTCAGGAGAGTGACCCTTTCTTCCAGCATCCACATTTCACCTTAAAACCAGCATTTTCTGGTCTCTTGGAGGACTCACTTTGTGCAAGCCATCCAAGTTGGGATCAGGTAAAACGAAACTCTTCCCCTTATAAATGCACAGGAGACCACGATCTTCTCTGTAAAGTTCCTGAAAAAAAACCCACCCTTCTGATGGGTAACAAAAGGATTGAAATTTCCTTTTTTTAAAAAAACAGAAGACCTGGGAGGATCACATAATCCTGACAGCCCCCACAGCAATTATAAGGTCTGCTATACAACGCTGTTTATTAAATAAAGACAGGCCAAAGTCCTTTTTTACCAGCACGCAGGATCCCGATGGCAGGAGATAACACTTCTGAGCAGAGCTGTCAGCAAAAAACCTCTCATGCTTTGGGGCAAGGACACACCAGGCATGAATCACTGCAGATGGACCATAGCTGAGAGGTTTGGGGGGGGAAAAAACAGCTGAAGCGGGAAATTTGGGGTCCCAGGTCATTACTGCAACGCTTAACAACGAGCAGCACCACAAACCATCGCCCATCTGAGGAGAAACGGTGCTGCCGAGCAGATCCACCCTGGGAAGGAGAAGGCAGCACAGCTCTGGATCAGCACCAAGGCACAGCATTCCCTGGGTCCCCTCCTCCAGCACAAGGTCACAGCACTGAGCTCCCCATCCCAGCTCTCCAGGACTCCTTTCCCAAGGCAACAAACCCTGCACACCAAAGCACCGCCGTGGGACAGGCGGGACCACGTGGAGCGGGATCCATGCAGTAAGTCAGACACTACAAGGCAGGATTCAGCAGATTCCATTTAATGTCATGTGCATATATATATCCATACATTTATTTATGTCAATGGTTTGGATGTGCGTGATGCCCAGGCCTTGAAAAATCTACTCCTCGCTTCACGTCTGGGAGGGAGCGGGAATTCTCTCCAAAAAATCACCCCGGGGTGGGGTTGGGCGTTCTGAAAAATGAATTTTAACCCCAGAGTTGCCAAGATAAAGCTGTGAATTGAAGGCAAAGCACGCAGAGCTGAGCCCTAAATTCTCAGGCAGCTCTGCAAAGGGTTTGGCCAAGAAACCCCCTCCCTCCCTCCCACCCGGGGAGACAGAGAACTGATAAGGAACGGGTTGGGCTTGTTTAGCATCCCAAGCAACAACCAGCAGAAGCAACACCCCATCAGCTCCTCAAGGAAGTTTTTGGCCAAGGTTGAGGAACAGAGCAGAGGAGTTGAGATAAACCATCCCCAAAAAAGAAAGGAAAGAAGAAAGAAATGACACTTTCACCAGCACAGACTCACAGAAATTTGCTTTTTTTTGCCTTTTTTTTGGCATTCAAGCACCAGGACTGACAGACCCCAGGGCAGTGGATGATGCTCACCCCGCCCTGTGCTCCCTCCCAGCAGTTTTGGGGGTAGATTTTTCAAGGCCTGGTGATGGCTCCCAGGAAGGCTCCTCCCAACCCGCTCCCGCCCGCTCGGAATCGATTGCATAGCATTTATTTCAGATAAGGCACTGTTTTGCCCGACAGCAATTCGAAATCAATGCAGTTTCCATACAGTCCAAATCGGATGGCCTACAGTGCAATAAACATCAACTTAAAGGCAAGGTTTGGAAGAATAAACCCAGCTTTAAATTTCAACTTAATATCAAAAAGATAAAGGAAACTACACGTTTCAAAAGCCTTTTTATTTTCCTTCACCATTGTTGTTTTACAATACAAATATCACCTTGTGAATACACAAAAAACCTACAGAAGATAACTCTGCTTCACGTAAAATACAGAATGGATATATATATATTTATATATATATTTTTCTCTTCTTCATTCTTTTTTAAAAAAAAACTATTTTTGTTCTGCACATTGGCAAGTTTAGGATAGGATACTTCCCCAGACATACAGTATGTATGGTAGGAGTGAAACTTAGAACTACATGCAGTTTCTGCACAAATATTTTAAAGAAATAGATTATCTTTGTTGTTTCTCAACAACATTGCAAAAGGGGATGGAGAAACCATTCGTAGTTCACTCAGTGATCATTTGTAAAATTCTTAAAAAACAGGAATTCATGGCTGTTTTGCTTGTTAAAACCCAGCTACCAAGAATAAAGTGATACTTTTTAGCTTGACCTGCCCACAATGTGTGAACAAGATCGGACCCTTTTTATTTGGTGGGGTGGTTTTTTCCCTACACATGGCAATTTCAACATTATAAGCAAATTTCCAGTTTAATTTAGCTATAAATGCAAAAATTAGTAATTATATAGTATATATAATTCTGCTTTCATGGAATACTTTATTTTAAATAAAAACATTTAAGACTGCCTACTGACCATACAATCAAGACAAGAAAGGCACTAGAAACATAGACAAATCTCTCTCTCCCAAGAAGCATTTTCTTTAAATTTTAACTCTCTATTCTCTGACATGTAAAAATCTTTTTAAATTTAATTTTTTTTTTCATACACGTTTTGAAAAATAAAGTTAGGAAATACTTAGAAAATCACTTTACATTTTTTCTTCTTTTTTTTTTTCCTTTTTTTTTTTTTTTTTTGCACTTTTTGACACAGTCAGTCACTGCAGATTCTACAAAATCAGGATTACCAAACCTTTCTGTGTCTATCATCTCATTCGTAGCGCGGTGCAACAGGTAGAAAGATTTCTTGATTTCACCCAAGGCAGGTATTTAGAAACCTTCATATAGTCATTTGCTAGAAAATGGCTTACAGCCCAATCTTTGGGGCAAGAGATATGAAAAGTATGTTTTCCCAAGAAAATAATATGCTTTGTTCCCAGACGTGACTGGAAAAGACCAGAACTCATGATATAAAAGCTCTCATTTATGTTGTCGCATCATATACAAAGGAACATGGCGATGGGTAAAATGCAAATCCCAACTCTATCAACAAGAAATGTGTAACAGTGCATGATAAGTTAAATTTTTCTTTATTGTTTGTCCAACGCAGAGATCCTTTGGAGAGAAAAAAAGATCACAGTGCTTACCAGGTAACTGAACGGGTCGAGTCGAGGGGAGCTGTTAAAAGAGAGGGTTATAGGGAGCAGTTGATTTTTTAATTTTTATTTTTTGTTGTTTTCTTATGGCATCTTCTCGTAGGGAGTTGTGAGCACTTGGGCCAGGTCCTGTCCTGCTGTCACGTGTCGCTGACCAGGCGGCTGTACTTGACCGGCCGGCCCCGCCGCAGCGCCGGCCAGGGCAAGGGCCAGTGGTAGGAGCGAGGTACAATGCCTTGGACATTCTTTTCAAAGTACTGGAAGGGCTTGTACCACCAGACCCTTGCGAGGAGGTTAGTTTGGGAAGCTTCTTTTAGCACCTGTGCCAAGAGAGAATGGGAAAGGGGGGAGTTAGGGAGGAATTACGAACCGCTCGCTCACGCGGCTTCACGGGACACCCCGCTCACTGCTGCTTCCACCCCGCTCACTGCTGCTTCCACCCCGCTCACTGCTGCTTCCAGACAGCTCCCAACGCACCCAGAAACACCTCCCAGACAGAGCTGTGCAGACAAAGATCAGGAGAAGCCAAGCTACTCTTCCACAGCCTCCCTGCACACACCCAAGTGAGGTTCACCAGTGTCGCAGGGTATCTTTCGCATCGGTGAGGCTTGGTCAGTACAAAAAGCAGACACACACACACACACACACACAGAGAGTTGAGACAAGAGTTGTCTGCTGTGTGAGCACAGCGACATCTTTTTATTGAGGCAGCTAATCCACATTTTCCCCACACACTTTCTGTAAATATAATTTTTACAAAACACCACAGCACTAACACCTGCACCGTGAAACACGGCCAACATCTCTGTTCCTCGCACATTCCATCCTGTTTATCTCCTTTCTAGTCAACTCCCGGATTCTCGAGGCTGCTCTGTCCATGGGAACAGTTAATTAACTTCACTGCTCTCATACCATCCAATATTTTAAGCTTGTCAACTTCTAGGGGCTCAGAGGACCTGCTGCCTCCCCCCACACACCAGTGTTTCCAAGATCTCTGTTGTTCAACGGGCCCTCAGGGGAAAAAAAAAAAATGAAAGGCCCAAAGATCAGTCTCTCCTCTCCCTTGGGAATGAAAAACCCAACCCAAAGCACAGTTGTTACCATAAGTATCTCTGAAATTCCATGTAGCTCAAGAATGGCTTTGGAACTTCTGGGGCAGTGAGCAAGGCACATCTCAACCCACCCGGAGGAGGTCAGGAGCCCTGCCCTGCCCTCCATGTGCTCCCAGACTGCTCCCACTCACCCTTTTCCTTCTGTTAGCCAGGAGCAAGCCCCAGCTGAGACACGAGGAGTGGGCAGGTCCCCAGGGAGTTATCCAACCACCCTGCTGCATGTTTGCAACACCAGAGCCAGGAATCTCTGAATCCACCCACTGCAAAGTGCAAGCACTGGGCTTGTACACTGAGCTCTGTCTCCATGTCAAGCTCACACGTAAAATAAATTCACTTCTGCTTTTAACTTGAAGGTCAGACAGAATCCAAAGCCCTCTGCACATGGAGCAGCTCAAGGAAGGAGAGATGAGCACACAAAGGTGTGCTCAGGAAAGGATCCGGGGACTGGCATTTCCCAACATTTCAGCAGCTTAGGGAAGCAATGTTGAGCCACCTTCTGAATCACATCACGCAGCAAAACAGGCAGGTTTCCACACAGTAAGGCAAAGGGCTTTGCTGAAGCAAGTCCTCATTAGGACTCAGGGCAGTCCTGACTCCAGTACTTCCAGCCTGGAAGCACGGCCACCCAGCACCTGCTTGAACAGAGCCCAGGAGCAGATTCAAAGCCTGGAAGCCCATCTGGTGCTGTGTGACAAGTTACAGAGTCTGAGCACAGGTTGCTATTGGACAGGGTGGCTCCCACACTGACTGAGCAAAGTGCATCTAATCAGCAATTAGGCATTTTGGGCTAAAAACATACCACGGGGCTTGACTGTGGTGTATTGCTTCAAGTAACATCAAAACCAGAGGAACAATGAATGAGTTGTAGCCAGAAGGCCTTCAGGGGGGCTGGAACCAGATGATCTTGCAGGTCTGTTCCAACCCAGGCCATTCTATAATAATTCTATGATACGATCTAAAAATCTGGACTGTCACAATATTAACTCATTTCCTATCATCATCATTTCCTAGGTCTTTCTTAAACACAATTAACTGGAGGAATGTGCAACACACAAGTAAAAAATCTTTCACCAAGTGCACAGAAAATATTTGGACACCAATATGCTGTAGGGGACCTAAAAGTTTCTCTTAACTCACTGTCTGTTACCTGTGGCAGAGATCTGTGGATTTTCTCTCATAGAATCAGTATCCTGAGCTGAATGGGACCCACAGGGATCATCCAGTCCAACTCCTGGCCCTGCACAGGACACCCCAACAATCCCATCATGTCCCAAACCCTCCTGGAGCTCTGGCAGCCTTGGGGCTGTGCCCACTGCCCTGGGGAGCCTGGTCAGTGCCCAACCACCCTCTGGGGGAAGAACCTTTCCCTGAGATCCTCCCTTGACACAGCAGGGGAGGTTTCACATTCCTCAGCCCTGCAAGCTCCTCTCTTATTGCTCCAGTTCACTGGCAGGGAAAACCAATGACAATAACATGAGACATCATTTAAACCTCTTTATTCAACCTTTGATGAATCTTTTACAGCTCCTCTCTGACTGAGTATAATCATCAAGTGCTGTGTCTCCTCCTAAGCAGCTCCCTGTTCTCAGTATTTCCCTCATCACCCTATTTTCCCAGACATGGGCCTTAGGTCAGAAGCAGCCTGTTCTCAGCTGCACTGCCCTCCAAAAGGAAAACATTTCCCTTGGCCAGGAGAACTTCCCACCACTTGGACACATTTAAAAAACTGGTTCATTTTTAGTGAGACTCTCAAGAGGCCTGTTATCAAACTAAAGGGCACAAGCCACAGAATACAAGGAAAACCCAGCTGGCCTCAACAGACAAACAAAAAAACAAGGCAAAGAACCCCACCATATCTAAATGGTTTGCTCTGCTAACACCAAACCGGCCCAAATTCAGAAGGATTTCAAAAACTGAGGCTATCCAGGGAAAAGCAGAGGCCTGCCTGCCTTGGGTAGACCTTCACATCTCTCTGTGGTCAAGACACGAGAAGAACCCAATCAATGATGCCTCTTTCTCTCCTGCAAACCCAAGGGCAGGACGTGGGTGGGTTCCCTCCTACTGGATATTTCCCCGTCACCACCCCACTGCAAGGGGATCCCAAGAGTGCAAGGAACTCACTTGCTGGTTGGCCATTGTGTGGTACCACCAGAATAGCCTTGTAGTGATGTAGTAAGCCACCACCACGTCCACAGTGTAGTGGTCATGAGCAAGGAGGATGCAGAACATCCCAACCATGCTGAGTGCCCAGCAAAGCCAGTGATACCACCAGAGTCGCCGTGGGGAATCTGCAAAGGAGCACAAGCAGCAGTTATTTCAAAGTGTAGGTTTATCAAGACTAGTGCTGTAATTAGCAGAGGTCATGGACTGCAATCCTGCAGGAAGATTAGGAGCAGGAATGCTGAGATCACAAAATAAGTCCCATTCTCCTGAGGTGTAGCTTAAAGTTGCAGTCGGGGTAAGGAGATCCTTGGACAATACAAAGGTTATGAAATCTCTGAAGAAGATATAAAATACCCTGGCCAATCTAATTAATCAATTTGTGTTTAGATGAGATATTAGGAAAAAATTCTTCCCTGGGAGGGTGGGGAGACTCTGGCACAGGTTGTCCAGTGGAGCTATGGCTGCCCCATCCCTGGAAGTGTCCAAGTCCAGGTTGGAGCAACCTGGGATAGTGGGAAGTGTCCCTGCCCATGGCAGGGGGTGGGACTAAATGAGCTTTAGTTCCAACTGAAAACCAACCCCAAACCACTACAACCCTTGTGGTGAAGGGTTTCCCTAATATCCAGCCCAACCCCACCCGGCACAACCCGAGGCCATTTCCTCTCACCCTGGAAAACGCACGTATTTTAAATTTAACTGCATTTACCAAGGAGCACAACAATAATTCCCTCAGTGAGGAAGGAATGAGCAGGCAGGCACTCACACTCTTTGATGAACAGGTAGGTGAGGGTGAGGATGACGGTGTGGCCGCTGTACAGGTAGTCACCACACATGTTGTGGGACCCGGTGATGGACAATCCCCCACCAGCAATCAACTTCATTATCCTTCGCAGGTGAGATTCCCAGTCTCCAAAAAGCTGGTGCAAGAGGAAAACACAAAAGCACAGTAAAACATCAGCTTTAACCTTTCAGGTTAAAGGTTTTAAACCTTTGTTTAAAGCAAAGGGTTTAGCCAGCAACTTTGCCCTTTGGTTCTTCTCTCTTTCTGCTTTGATCCACAAGTTCAATCAGCAAATAAATCCCCAAACCTGGCAGCACCTTTCTAGGGGGGGGGAAAGACTGGAAATGAGCCATGATTTTATTGATGCTTTGCACCTATTACAGCTGGCATTCATGTGAGGTTTTCCTTCTGTCCAAGAGGCAATGCACTCTAAAATAAATTAATTCATCTTGTTGATAACAGCACAGGCCCTATTGATGACAATCCAACAGAAACCAGGATGAACTGTACATCCAGCTGCTGAAACTGAGATTTGATGAAGAGTATCTCACTCCAAACCCTAAGGCCACCTTGGAAAAGTCTTCAAAGTAATCTCTTTCCACTTCACAGTCCAACAGAAACACGTGTGGTGTTTGTCAGAGCACAGTGCCCAACTTCAAGAAGTGGCAATTAATAGTTTCTGACAGACTTCAGCAGGTTCTTTGCAGGAATTAAACATTTCCTGTTAACTGTTCATTACAAACATTAAAATGCTCCCCAAAGCCCACTCTTCACAACCATATATAACTCAATAAGGTGTTGAGAAGTTATTCTTTTCCCACCAGTATTTATAGCTTTCAAGAAAACTCAGCTAATTCTTAGTCTGACTGGGGCAATAGAGGAGCACAACACCAGCTTGTCTCTACTTGAGTAATGAGAAGGATTTGCCAACACTGTAAATTCCCAAAAATGGCAGATTTATTCCCTTCAGCCCATAAATACCTGTGTTCTTTTTTCATTTCTTAACAGATGACTGATCAAACACTGTGCTGACTCCTCTCCCACTCTCCTCTCTTTCCAAAAGCTCTGGGTCCCTCTGAAAGCCACACGTGGCTTGGCAAACATTCTGCCTGGGCAAAGTACTGGTGTTTGTTAGTACATTCACTGGCCTGATCTCCCTGAGGAACTGCAGCAGTTCAGCTCTGTCTGTACCTGCCAATCCTCACCAAAATAAAGGCAGCACGTGCCCCAAGCCACAGCAGGATTTTACTACCTGTCACTTAATTTATGTGCACACAAAGATACTTTGGGTAATGTGAGATGGATTCAACACCACCATCCCTGTCCCATCTCCACCCCAAGCAGGTGAATCACCCTTCCAGGCTGACCAGAAGGGTCTTGTCCAAGCACCTCTGTCCCAGTAGCCTGGTTTCATCCACGGCTTTTGCAAGCCCAGTTTATTTCTTGGCACAACAAACGTGAGTCAGTGCTACACTGGGGAGGAGGTGACAAGCCCTCATGCTACCACAACTGCAAAACTATATATATATGCAGGAGACAGAGTTCCACCAGCCTCAGAAAAGCCTCTTGGGGCCATTTTCAAACACAAATCATATTTGGATTTGACACAGGGGTGGTTAGAAATAAATGAGTCACATGTGGCACACCTGCAGGCTGCACACCTTCAACTGCTTTGGTGGAGACAGAAAATTGCTGATCATGCAAATTAGTTGAAAATGCCACAGAAGTAGTGTAAATCAGCATTTTGAGAAGGGTGGGAACGACTGCACTGCCCCAAAGCACCTGTCAACACCTCCACCAAGAGGGAAGCCAACATCTGCAGGAGGATTGTCCTGTCAGGCCAAACCAGTGTTCTCAAATTAGAATTGCAGAATGGTTTGGGTTGGAAAGCACCTTAAAGATTAGGGACACCTCCCACTAGCCCAGGTGGCTCCAAGCCCCATCCAACCTGGCCCTGAACACTTCCAGGGATCCAGGGGCAGCCACAGCTTCTCTGGGCAACCTGGGCCAGGGCCTCCCCACCCTCACAGGGAAGGATTTCTTCCTAACATCCAATCTAAACCTACTTCCTTTCAGTTTGAAGCCATTCCCCCTTGTCCTGTCCCTCCAGTTCCCAATGAACAGCCCCTCTCCTGTTTCCCTGTAGCCCCCTCAGACCCTGGAAGGTGCTGTGAGGTCTCCACACAACCTTCTCCTCTCCAGGCTGAACATTCCCAGCTCTCCCAGCCTGTCTCCACAGGGAAGGTGCTCCAGTCCCCTCAGCAACTTGGTGGCCTCCTCTGGATTTGCTCCAACAATTCCATGTCCTTCTTTATGTTGGGAGCACCAGAACTGTGCACAATGACCCAGGTGGGGTCTCACCAGGGCAGAGCAGAGGGGCAGAATCCCCTCCCTCAGTAACAATTCTTGAGAAAGCACTGCTGGTATTTTTGGGAAGAGCAGGACAAGTGGGAAACACGCAGATTAAAACATGGGAAGGCAGCCAGAAGCAGAGTTTACCTTTGGAGAACACTTGAAATGCATTCCAGGTACTGGGAGCGTGGTCACATACATTGTAATACACCGGTACAGGTACAGTGTGCCAACTATACAGAAAAATCTTCTGCTAATTATAGACCTGGGAGGGGGGGAAAAAAAAAAAAGAGGATAAAAATAAGGAGGTCACTCAAGGCCAACAAAATACGCAAAAGGTAAATAAAACAAAACCACCAACTGTTTTCTTCTGATGCTTTTGGAACTCGTGACAGGCTTACACCTGAGAACACTGAACTGCCCCACAAACCTTCCCACGCTTTCCAGGTCAGAAACACAAGAGCAGCTCAAGTAACATTACCCATGGAGGTGATTACAGGAAATCTAAGGATTAGAACACAAAAAGCCTGTGCAGATTGGGTGCTGAAGACATTAAAAGGGATTTCGTGCCCCAAACTCCTCCATTAGCTGTGGGCTGTCACCAATTTCCTATTCAAGGCAAGGGATAAAGTTACAGTATTTTCATTCTAAGATGAAAAGAAGGAAGTTTGTTTCAGCTGACACACATATTTAGTAATGACAAAGGGTCTCTGGAGAAGAAAGAGCTTGGATAACCCGAAGGAGTGAGCACACATCATTCCTGGGCAGCATCATAAAGGGAGCAAGTCACAGCAGCAAGGAAACCTCCAAACTACAACTGCAGAGCTGCCCTGGCCACAGCACAGGGGGTCTGCAGGGGAAACCACTCTCCAGGCAAGTGGCCACAGCTGCAAAGACATTTATTACTGAGGGCTGCCAGCGAGTCCCTGGAGGGCAGATGCAGTTTTGGGGTACAGAGAGGTGGTTCTGCAAAAGCAGCAAGAGCACAGGAGGGAAAGCCAGGCAGCCTGGGCTCAGGAGGGACAGCCAGCCCCAAAACTGGCCCCTCGGGTTTCACCACAGGGTAACAGCTAAGAAAACCTCAAGGAAAGAGCTACAACAATTAAAGCCCCTCTGGCACATCCACCAGGACCGGAGCAACTGCTGGAGAGACCCTAAAGAGACACCACTGCCAGCACTGCAGAAATCAAGGGCAAATCCCATTACAGCAGTTAACCACCCTTTGTGTTCTACACACCCTGTTGGTTTTGGTTGGTTTTAAATAATTATTTGCAGTTATGATCATCTCAAGCTGCAACTTCTGGCACTCATGGAATCACAGAATGGTTTGGGTTGGAAGGGATGTTAAAGCTTATGTTGTTCCACCCCCTGCCATGGGCAGGGACACCTTCCACTGTCCCAGGTTGCTCCAAGCCCCATCCAACCTGGCCTTGGACACTTCCAGGGATCCAGGGGCAGCCACAGCTTCTCTGGGCAACCTGTGCCAGGGCCTCCCCACCCTCCCAGGGAACAATTCCTTCCCAATATCCCATCTAACCCTGCCCCTGGCAGTTTGAAGCCATTCCCCCTTGTCTTGGCACTCCAGGTCCTTGTAAATAGTCACTCTCCATCTTTTTTGGAGGCTCCCTTCAGGCACTGCAATTCCTTTGTTGCTATTGTGTTCACTTTTAAAACAACAGTATTCCTATCAAGCTGAGCTCTTTCAAAACTCAAAATTGGCCATCTTTTTAATTTTTAATAGCTTTTGGCAGAGTTATTGAACTGGAGAGCTCCACTCTTGGAGGAGGATGACTTTGCAGTGCCAGATTAATAACAACTTGAGTGCCTTGATTTATCAGAAAAGCATCAACTCTTACAGGGTAAACACATTTTGCACTGGAGTGCTCGCTGCTCTAACACAGTATTCCACATTTTTTCTTCTTTCCTCTGATGTAAACATGGACAAAGACTAGAATTAAAAATTACACTTATTAATGTAGCTCCACAGACTGAAATTTAAGTGTGGAAGGCACCAAGCTGTTGGAAAGGTCTTTTCCTCTGCACAATTTTTCTCCTGGAAGGGTGATCCAGTGAAGGTCTCACACTTGTGCCTGGCTTTTATTACTTGATTCTGCTTCTTTCTTTATAACCATAAAGGCAAACAGGGGGGCTGGGGATTAAAGAGTGAGCAGCACTGTATTTTAAGAGCCTGAATAAGTGGCAGCATTTTATAGAGCACTGAACTTCTCTTTTTAATTAAAATTACCCACAAACCCATTCAATTTAGCTGGATTTGGCATATTTTAGCTTAGGGAAGCATGAGAGTGCTCTGTACTGTAATATATATAAAAAAATTAATGTAAAAAGCCTCATATTTCCCCTTCCTCAGAGGATTTGTGTGCGTGTGTGATTTAGAGCCAGTGATCACCAGACCAGACAACTCCGTTCCAACTCTCCAGACCTCACCAGTGCACACGCTGCTTTTTCAGTCCCATGAGCGAATCAGATGTCAAGCATGGCCGAAACCCAGCGCTGTACTTCTCCCAGAACATCTGGGAATGCTTCCCAGAGAGGCTTGTTCTGCCTCAGCAGCCGGCCTGGACTCCTGGGGCTGCCCCTGGTACCTGTGGTGGGCACAGACCTGCACACCCTCCTGCTCCTGCTCCCTGGGCACAAACCAGCCCAACCCCCTGCCAGGGACAGCCTCAGAATCATGGGATCACACAATGGTTGGGGTTGGAAGGCACCCTAAAGAACACCTTGTTCCATCCCCCTGCCACTAGCCCAGGGTTCTCCATCCTGGCCTTGGGCACTTCCAGGGATCCAGGGGCAGCCACAGCTTCTCTGGGCACCCTGTGCCTGTCCCAGGGGCCATGGGAACCCCTGGTTAGCTGCACATACACACCCAACACCCCCCCAGTTCTGCAGCCCCACAGAGGAGACACAGAGGTCGTATCCCACAGGATCAAGCAATCCCTGGACTGAAGGAGGAGAACCTAAGTGATGAGTGTCATGAATGACACATCTCTGTTGTCCTCCTTCGTGGCTTGGGAGAACAGCAGGCTCAGCTTGGATGAAATCACTATCAGCAAATAACGGATCTGGTGGGATAAACAACAGGAATTTCACTGCTTGGCAAAGAACAGTGTTTTAAAAAGCCTGAAACTGAAGCTGCCTGAAAGGTTCGACCCAGCCACTGGTTACAATTCAACTCACAGGTCACAAAGCTGCTGCTTCACCAGCACCCTGAGCTGGCAGGGGAGACACCCATGACTGGTGTCTGTCAGCTGAGCAGTGGAGCAGCCAGGTCTCATCCTGCCCAGCAGCCAGGGCTGCACATCTCATCTTCACATCAGAGGGGGGCAAAGCTTAACCCTGACCCATCAGAGGCCAGAGAAGTGAGGAAGGTCCATCTGGCCTAATGCCCTCCCCTTGGTCTTGACTTAAGTGTCAAAGGGAAGTGATAACCTGCACCACAGAAGTGATTCAGCTCTTTCTGTAGCCCCAAATCAGCACCCATTTGGTGGTTCACCACCCAAAGCCACCTCACTAGGTTCCTGTTCCTGGGAGCATCTCTCCTGTTCTTCCCCTCATGCTGCTTGGGCTTCTCAGACTTCAATACCTCTGCTCATGGATAGAAAAGAAGATTTTTGGTCCCATTATGCATTAAATGATGTCACAGAGCACTGTGTGACCACTCCACACACTGACCACCACTGATCAGCTATTCCAGGGCTGATACTGGGGATGGAAAGCTCTGTGACTCCCTGACACCTTCCCCTAACACCAGAAAAAGCCCCTAAAAGGGGCTTCCCATGGCAGGAGGTTGGAATGGGATGATCTTTAAGGTCCCTTCCAACCCAAACCATTTTGTGTTTCCATAAGGCAGGTGAAAAGGAACACACTAAAGCAAGTGGGGTAGGGGGGGGAACCTTCACACCTGTCAATGATACCAACATATGCACCTTACCATCAAAGCCAGCCCACATCTCACTGCTACAAAACCTCCATGGACCTCAGGAATTCTGGTGTTCTTCCCCTAAGGCTCTGCTCAGCTCCATCACAGGGTGTTTGATCCCTCACACCACCCCATTAACCCCACACCTCTTTCTTGAGGGCGATCCCACATCACCTTCTCCAGGTGTTTCCCTCAGGAATTATTAATTCCCAGGAATTAATGGTCCCCCACATCCACCACAGGCAGCTGGAGCAGTGGGAAGAGAGGCTGGAGTGCAGCTGGTGGCTCTGCACCTACCAACAGGAGAGTGGAACTGGAGCTGGAACTTCCCTTTAAGGAGCTCTTAGAAGCGTAAAACAGTTTAAAAATTTTCCCTGATAAAATAAAGATGAATAAACCATCATCTCAGTCTTGTGGATTAATCTGCCCCATTCCCACAGGAATCCACAGCTGTGTCACACATCCTGCCCCAGGCTAAAAATTCTCTCCTTTTAAGCCACCTGCACCTCATTAAGTGGGTGAACCACCTGCTTGTGTTTAAGTTTTAATGTTTTGCTCCATTACAAGGGCAAGTGATTCACTGGCCACTGCTTTTATTTCTTTCAAAAAGGGAAATCTTTAATTCCAAGGCCATTCCCAAGCCCCATGAACTGAAGGATCTTGTATTTCACATGGTGGGGCCCAAATTATGTTCCTTCCTCAGTTTTCTACATAGAAGTCACCAAAAAGTCAGTGAACAGGTAGAGAATGAGATGTATTAGCAGAGGAGAGAAAAAAGAGAAGCCCCTCTGGGCAGCTGTGGGGCTGTGCTGGTGCCTGGCTGTGGAAAGGTGTTATTGCCACCTCTTACTGCTTAACCTGCCTGACTTTGAACACTTCATTTAGCACGAGGGTTTACATCAGACACTCGTGGTCAGGCAGCCCAAGGTGTGCATTTCCAGCTCTATAAATACCTTGCATTAAACATCCTTGCATTAAACATCCACGTGCTCTCTGAGGAGGGGAAGTGGCAGGTTAATTCCTCTGCAAGGCAAATTCAACCCTTGCAACTGTGACCAGTACAAGCAAGAGGCTGGGACAAGCACTGAGACCTTCCAAATTCACTGCAGATCCAGGCTTTTGCTTATTTTATGATTAGCTTTTGGACATCCCTCGTGTTTGACGTTACCTGCCCCACCCAATGGCAAGATGAGAACGTACTTCAATGCTTTTTTCAGGCAGCAATATTCAGGTGCACAGGCTAATCCCCCACCTGCTGCTTTTGTGCAGGAGTTTTAGGGTAGGGCTTTAGGTCAGGCAAAGCACAGAGACACTAAATCACAGAATATACACAGCTGGAAGGGATCCATACTATAATCAAGTTAAACTTCTGACCCTCAGAGCCCTCCTGGAGCTCTGGCAGCCTTGGGGCTGTGCCCACTGCCCTGGGGAGCCTGGGCAGTGCCCAACCACCCTCTGGGGGAAGAACGTTTCCCTGAGATCCAACCTGACCCTGCCCTGGCACAGCTCCAGCCATTCCCTTGGATCCTGGTTTGCAGCTGCCCTCACAACAGTGTGAGCTGTGCTCCTTCTAAACAAACAGAACAACCAACTGAGTTCAGAACATATTTCACCCAGTTCTTGGGCTTTTCACACATGAAAGGGCTGCAGTTAGTTGTGCAGACAAGCACGACCAGGGGTATTGTTTAGTTTCTTAGGGAACAGTTGGACTGAACTTCTGCCTTTTGCACAAGCAGCTCGCACTGCATGGTACCTACTTCTGATTTGGGTTTCCAAAACTGAAGACCACAGGAAGCTTCACTTCACTTGGATGTAAACCAGCACCTCCCCTCCAAAAGCTGTCAGAGGCACTCAGTTTTCCAAAGGTTTTACTTACTTGTACTTTAAGAGCAGCCACTGAACAAACCACAGTCCTACGAGGATCATGCCGTTGATTTCACAAATAGAAAAAGCCCATTGCACCCGATCAAAGCGATCAAAAAATGCATCTGGGAGGGGAGGCTGCACCTCCTTGGGAGGCACTCGTTCGTGAACGACTGAGATAGTCACTGTGGTGAAGACGAAACAAGAAAGTGCATAAATAAAAGCCAGGAAAGTCTTGCCCCACTCCATGGGGTACTGCGAGCGCTCCGGCTCTGGCATGGGGATCTTTATCATCTCCTTCTTGAACCCGTTTGGCACCCCGTTGAGCTTGGCCTTGCCGCCGAAGCCGTTCTCGCCGCCGCCGCCGCGGATGTGCCCGTTGGCGTGGCCGTTCTTGTGAGCCTCCATGTGGTGAGCCATTTTCAGAGTCTCGATCATGTGCAAAAGCCGCTGGCCGCTGTCGGAAGACACCCGGGACAGAGGCGACCTCTTAAAGTCCTCCTCCTTCAGGTCGATGAGGTCCCGCCCGGTGAAGCCCCTCAGGGGCTCGCAGTACTCGGGCACCGCATTCTCCGTCAGCCAGCTGGTCACCTCCTCGGGCGACCACAGCACCACCTCTTTCATCTCGCCGGGCAGCCGGGGCACGCTCTGGCATGGATCTCACAGGGGGCAGCGCTCACTGCCGCTCCGGCGCGCTGGGGAGCTCCTCCTGGGCTTCATCCTGTCCGAGGGATCCGTCTGTGGCCGAGGCGGGTGCCCGTCTCTAACCCGCCCACAGGAGCATCCGGGCGCCCTGGCACAGCATAGGAGTCACTTCACTTCATATTCGTGTTGGCATTCTTCTTCCTGGGGAGGAGAAACACCCAAAAGTACCCATTAGGACAGTGTTTCGTTTGCAGTTCAGGGACAAAGACAAAATTCCTGCAGAACACCACCTCGAGTCTCAATTCACAAACTCATTTGAGCTCCAGCCTTGGACACACAGCACTGTCCTTCCCGGCCTTGCTGCTGATTCCTTAAGAGCTTTAACACCACTTTGCAGCTGTGGGAAGACTCCTGCCTGCTCTGTACTTGTTGCACTTTCCATTGCTATGCAGCTCTGGTCCATAACCAGCATCCAAACTCTTCTTAAAATCCTCATACTCATGGATTTAAAGATCTACAGAGGGAATGTTCAGTATTATTCATGTCAAAAGCCTTTTCTCCCCCTCACAGACCGGTACCTCAATGCAATGTTTTGCAATAGTGACTGAATATGAAGCCTGGTTTTTGTTCTGCAAGGCAAAAACCACAAAATCCCAGAATGGTTTGGGCTGGAAAGGACCTTACAGACCATCTCATTCCCACCTGCTGCCATGGGCAGGGACACCTTCCACTAGCCCAGGTTTGCTCCAAGCCCTGTCCAACCTGGCCTTGAACACTTCCAGGTGCCATATTTAAGGTACAAGGTCACCAACACCCAAAACCAATGCAAGGATCTACTCTCTGGGCCAAAACACCAGCAGGAAAATCAGTGTCCAAACAGATTAGCCCAAAAATAAAGCATTTAGGCTTGCAGGTGTTTAGCAGCTCTTTGAGGTAGATTTTACTGTTTCCATGGTATAGTGCTACAATTCAAAGAATTGTTTTCTATCAGCTAAAAAAAGGAACCAGGAGGAAAAGAAAACTTTAAAAGAAAAGACGAACTAGGTGAGAAACTTCTACACCCAGTGAATTACAAAAATAGCTTAGAAAAGCTGGTCACTTCCAATACAAAAGTTACAGGAAAACAGATGTTACTTCCTGAATTTTTGAGGCACAAGCAGCAAAAGAGGCTGTGGTCCCGTGGCACTGACCACCACCAGCAAACCCCCAGGCCTGAGACATTTATTGAACCAACCAACAAAAACTAGTCCTCAGAGCAAAGAGAAGAGACCAGTGAACCCCCTGTCTCCAACCTGCCATCCCACAGACCACGTGTGAGAAAGAAAGTAACAGCATGGGGAAAAAAAATGTATTTTGAAAAGTCACATCAAGCCTTTATCAGCTTCAAGAATATTTTTAGCCTCTTACAGGCTACCAAGTGTTTGTGTTTCATTGCAGGGAGCAAAGCTGTGACTGAGAAAAACCAAAATAATTTACTCTGCTGGCAAGATTGGAGGTGAAGTGGTTCAGAACAGAGATACAGAGCTTTACTCCTGTACAAACATGACCACACTGCACACCAATGCATTTTTTGACCTGTTGCCTCTGAACTCAGCAGGAAACACAGGGTGCAGTTTTCAATCTGTTTTTCCCTGGAATGAGCCATGATGGTTGAGAAAAGAAAGGAGCTCTGGAGGAAGGACTGGCAGTACTTTGAATAGGGCACCTCTCCCTTGCTGGGACATATTTAAATCCATGGAGCAAACCAGGGTTGGAGATGACTCTTCCACCTTGTGAATATCTGTGTTGTTTTAAAACAGAAGGGAACATACAGCTCTATTTTCTTTCCTTTTTTTTCCTCAGTACCAAGGAAGGCTTTCAGCCACAGATTGCTTCATTATTCAAGTTGTGTTTAGCAAATCAGTATTTAGTTACAGAGCTCTGAACATGGAAATAGGACTGAATTATGCATGGTAACCCACATTAGAAGCTCCTACAAGGCTGGCACTGAAGGAGAGCAGCTCGGCTCTCCACTGTGCCCATCTCTGTGTGCTCGCTGTACTTGAGGTATCCCAGGGCACAAAAATTCCCAACTGACCCTAACAGACTTCTCCACGGGCTTCTTGTTTCCAAGGATGATGCCTTACAATGCTGTTAAAGCCTAAGTTATTTATTTTTTAATGCTGTTACAACACCTGGGCTCTTGGTCTGCAGCAGGGCCTCAGCTTCCTTTGCTGTTCCACTGCTGCCTCTCCAAGTTCTGTGTCACAAACCCAGCCTGGCTCTGGGCTCTCAGAGCACCCTGTGCACACCACGAGGGGGGGCAATAATAAACCTTTTCAACTTGAATCACTGGAGTGACTGAATCCCAGTTTCCACGTAAACCCTGAACCATTATCCTCCCAACAAACCGGCTTTCTGTCCACTCCCTGACAACATTCTTAAGGACTCACAATCCCAAAGATACAGGGCAAAGGGCTCTACTCATCACTGCTTAGGAGCCTGTAGCCAACCTTCAAACTGCATCTCAACAGCCAGGAAAGGTTTGGACTGGACAGCAGGAAAAATGTCTTCACTGGAAGGGTTGTCCAGCCCTGGTGGTGTCACCAGCCCTGGTGGCATTAAAAGATGTGTGGATGTGGCACTTGGGGACTGTGCTTTAAACTCACCACCAGCAATGCTACTTAAGGTACCACACAGAAGAATAAAGACTGCTTGACTCCAACTTCTGTAACTTCATGGATTATGAAACATAAATCTATCTCCTAAGAGTCTCAGCTGGTTTTAAAAACAAGAAATCCCATCTGGCAGGCAGAGGCACAGACATCCAGCCCATCTCGTGCTGGATGGATGGACAGATGGATGGAAGAGGATGGTGAGGGGTTCACCAAGGAGCTACTGAGCAGAAAGTGCAGCCCTCATGGCTGACATTTCTGGGAGCACGAGCCAGGTGCAATCCCAGCCCGCTGCTCTCACACCACCAGCGTGTAAATCACTATCAAGCACCTTTTGTAAAAGCAGAGTAACTGATACTCACGGGAGGAAGGCTCAGAGGAAAGACAATACTCTGTGCCAAGGACACAGGCCATGGAGTTGTTTTCATTGAGAGTTAAAATGAGGAAAACCAACTAGAATTTCTAACATCACCTACCATTCAAGCCTCTATTTCACAGTCTGTCTAATGGAGGAGGAACAGGCAAAAAAGCTTCTTTACGAACACCTTCCAGCTTGTCACATTAAAAATTCCTCGTTCCCTACGGTGTATCTGTGACAGCTTGATCAGGTAAGGTTTGCTGAAACTGTACAGGAGAGTAACAACCCTCACTGACCCCCTTGTTGCCACAAAAGGTCTCATCCTCTCCACAAAAGGTGGGGACCAGCACTGGTTGCTGCCAGGCCACGTCCATGGGCTCAGCTCCATCCCACAAGGATGGGCACACACAAGCCTCCCCAGCTCTGACATGAGCTCTTTAGGCTGGGCCAGGCCACTGACACACTCCCTCCATCTGCAGCAGAGTTGCTTCATTAAGGAATTATAAATAACAATGTGATTACCACAATAATGCCGACTGCACTATGATAATGATGCCGTGTAAAACCGGTATCTCAAAATACCCGGCACAAGACCCAGCAGGATGAAACAACCTCATCAAGGGCTCCAGGCCCCACCTCCTCCTGTTTACATGACCTTTTTCCCCCCCTGTTCCCAGCAAACACTCAAGTGCTAACTCAAAACGTGGGGAGTAATTGCCACCACCAGTTCAATCTGCACGAGTGTGGTTCTAACCCCATGACCACGGCAGCTGGAACAAGGATCTGAGAGGGCACTAACTATACACAACCCTGGCTATCAAGGCCTGTTCTCTTTTGCACTGCTTTGCAGAGGTGCTGTTGGGCACAAGGACTGAGTGTGGGAGCAACCAACTCATTGGTTAAAGGGCGAGATAATCAGCCACAAAATCATCAGCTGGTTACACCTCCACACTTAGAATCACAGAATGGTTTGGGTTGGAAGGGATCTCAGACATCATCTTGTTCCAACCCCCTGCCCTGGGCAGAGACACCTTCCACTAGCCCAGGTTGCTCCAAGCCCTGTCCAACCTGGCCTTGGACACTTCCAGGGATCCAGGGGCAGCCACAGCTTCTCTGGGCAACCTGTGCCAGGGCCTCCCCACCCTCACAGGGAACAATTCCTTCCCAATATCCCATCTATCCCTGCCCTCTGGCAGTGGGAAGCCATTCCCCTTGTCCTGTCCCTCCATGCCTTGTCCCCAGTCCCTCTCCAGCTCTCCTGGAGCCCCTTTAGGCCCTGGAAGGGGCTCTCAGGTCTCCCTGGATCCTTCCCTTCTCCAGGGGAACCCCCCCAGCTCTCCCAGCCTGGCTCCAGAGCAGAGGGGCTCCAGCCCTGGGAGCATCTCCACAGCCTCCTCTGGATCAGCTCCAAGAGGTCCTTGTCTTTCCTGTGCTGAGAACAAGACCCAGGTTTGGGGTCTTCCTGCAAGCAGAAAGCATTAAGTCTTGCAATTAACACTGATAAGAGAAAACCACATTCAGCAGCAAAAAAAAGACCCCCAAAACCAGTCTGCCCACCTCCAAACTCCTCCCTAAACACTTTGAAACTCGACTGAAGAAAACCAAAGTCCTCCCAAATCAAATCACGCCTTCCTTTTACTCTCTAAGCTTTGCTGCCAAGGCAACAGTCACTATAGAAATGAGTAAAATCCTCAGCCATTTCAGCAGCTCCTCACCAGGAGCCAGAGAGATTTTCCAGTCCTTCCAGAGGCAGTGGCTGTGTTTCACTTGCAACCCTGAGCACCCTTCCCAAACAGCCCAGAGAAGTTGAGATGATCCCACCATCAGTGAACAGAGTTCAAATGAGTGAGGTCCAGGGACAGGCATGGATGGGAGACACAACAGTGACCTTTTGAGCTTGGAAAACAGACCCTGAGATTTACACTGATTACATGTGCACACAAACAACCAGGAGAAATCCAACTGCTGCAAGGATTGGAGGACTTCATGCTTTATAAACCAACCCACAAGGGAATTCCCCAACCCCACTGGTGAGCAGGAGTTACACAGGAGCTCTTGTCCTGCCTTTTTACAGCACAAAAACTGTAACAGCAGGGTCTGAGTCACTGCTCCAGTCACCTCCTCTACAGGCATTTTATCATCACCAACAATAACACTGACACCTCAATAACTGGACGTCCTGTCCTGGA